CTATTTTCCAGGTGGATGAAGTATCCTTGCTCCTCTTCAAGGATTACCCTAACTACACTGTAAACTCCAATCTTGCAAGGTCCCAGAGGACTTTAGGCTCCATCTTTTGGCTTGGTCTATAACATGCTCAGTATTTCACATAACAAAAAAGGTATTTTTCAGAGGTCTTACTCTCTCAAGCCACTGTTTTGCCATGTTACTTTCATTCATTCATTGAGGCTTTTCATAGAGGAAGAAGGAGGAGGATGAGGAAGAGGCAGAGGAGGAGGTACAGGAGGTAGAGGAGGAGGAGGAGGAGGAGGATTTTCCAAATTCACTTTCCTATCATTCACTTACATCTCGATTCTCTCTAAGCTGGCTTCCACCCATACCATTTGATTGAAATTCCTATCATCTGAAGTGGACTTCTGTGGTTTGCACCATGCAATGGCTACTCCCTCTTCTCCTAGCATCACTGCCTTGGTTTCCTTTGGGACCATCCTTTTCTCTATGCTCAGTCCAGGGGCTTTACTTGGGTTGACTCTATCCTTAGCTCCAAGGGTGGGCATGTGACCTAAACACAATCAACTCAGCACAGGCCATGATGATAGTGTCTGGGATCATCATGGATCCTCATTTCAGAGCTAATTTTGGGAGTGAGTGGGAGGTATCCTAAAAGATGAAGCTCCCTTTTTATTGTATAAACTTGGACTTGAATGGATGTAGGTTGAGATTGCTGCTGCCATCTTGTCACAGTGAGGGAGAAAGACTTTTAGAAACTACAGCTAAAACAGAAAGCAGAGCCAAGAGATGAAAAAAGAGAAACTGTGTCTGATTTTTGTCAATTGAGCTCCTAAATCTAACCATACCTAGTAATAGAACTAACCTTAAACTTTACGCTTGAGTCAATAAATTCTCTTTCACTTCAGCCAGTTACAGCTATGTGGTTATTGTAATTTGCATCAAAAAGGACAATAATTTATACACCACCAAAAAATTCAGTGGTTAGCATTTGTCAGAACTAATCATTCCCTTAAATACATACTCATATCCTTTCTTTAATCAATCCACTCTAGTTCTTCTTTACGTGTAGTATCAACTTGTAGAATTTCAGTGTTAGAATGCATAAGGGGCAATGAAACTAATATGTGTTGAGGTCCTTGAGGAAGGCACATTTAATATGCATAAATGCCTGTTGAAAATGTAGACACACTTTTTGGAATTATGTTTGGAATACCACACTACTGATTACAATGCTGAAAAGAGATGTCATATGAAGGGAAAATGGTTGTAAATTTGGACTGCACGTTATCATTTCCATTCTGAATATAAAGAATTAAATATTAATGAGGCACTGAATGAACATTTTCACAGAGATAATGCCTCTGATTCTAGTTAGAAAAAAATGGGAAAAAAAATGCGAGAACAGTGTTATTGCATTTTTATATTAGCACACTTTCTGGAAAGCAATTAAATTGGCTTGCCACCTGAATTTTTAAAAAGCAAAAGGTTAGAAGATACAATAAAAATCAACATAATTTCCAATGAACTGAAAGTCATTGTACCATAAGATATCTGAAATCATATCAAAAAGCAGAATTTATAGCCTTATGAGTTACGGAAAAGGAAATTGAATTGTGTTTTATTTTTAAAACACAACCACTGAAAAGGTGTTTCCATAGTAACAAGGTCAATACCCGTAGCCATTACAGACCTTCCTCTTTGCTGATAGTGGGTTTAAGGATCTTTTTCAAACACCACTTTAAAAGTCCTATGAAAAAACTATAGCTTTTCTGATCATTCATTTGAACCAAAAATGAAGAAAACCACACATGGAGTATTGAATTTCTCATGAGACATAAAACATGAGAATATTTTATGGATTATAAGCAAACCTATCCGACTAGCTACTATGCCAACCCCTGAACATGAGATTTGATTAACCTGATTGTAAAACAGGGCAAACAGAATGTGTTTGCAGTAATATTCAAACAGAAATAAAAGGAACACAGTATTAAAAAACATTTCTTTAACATCTAAATATTGAAATAGTTAAATAAATAATCCCTGTTATTAGAAAAATTTCAAAGGCTCAGATAAAATATTATATTGCTACTAGAGGAAGGTCAGACAGATATAGGCTACAATTTGTTTATAACAGAAATAAATAGCTCTTTGGCCATAAAATCATTTACCCTGTCAGGAAGTGGACCCCCCCCCATTCCTCTTTCCACTGTATCAAGACATACTGCCTATGTAATAGTCATTCGTATAGCTTTATCTTCTCTACTAAACTGTGAGTCCCTTGAGAGCAGAAATATTTTATTTCTCTTGTATTCATAATAGTATCTCCCATGACATTTTGTGTATATCAAATATTGAAAACAAAAACAAAAACATGCAACAGTAACTAAAATAACTGGTTTAAAATCTCTGGTTTAATTTTAGAAGTGATGTGTCAGTTAAAAATGTGTACTCATGATTTTAATCTCTTTAAACCACGAGGCTCTAGATCCTTGTTCACAGAATCACCAACTGCTAAATAATCAATTCAATTCTAGGCCAATGTCATCAGAATCTCTGCAGGTGGGGCCCTGGCATCAGTCATTTTTAAAGCTATTCAGGTGATTCCAATGTAAAGCCAGAGTTGAACATCATTACCTCCTTCTTTAGCTACTTTTTCTTCTCAATATTGCTTCATAATACTATATTTACCAAATGAGATCTTTTTATATAACGTAATGATTTGTTCCCTAGAATCACTTTTTGATAACAAAAAGTTTCAATTAAAACAATTCAGTTTTATACAATTAACAATTTTAACCAAGGTTATTATTTATTGTATTCCATTCAATATGTTGATTAGCTTTTTGTTGCTGTGAATTCAGCTTTTGAAACCCAGAGATGAATACAGTACTAATGTAAAAAAACATTAAATAAATATCAGTAGAATTGAATATATGCTTTTGTGATTTTATATATACCTTTTCCAGGCCTGTGATGCCTTTTACTCCCTTATATATCTGGAAGAATTCCAGTTCATCTTTCAAAACACCCAGATTATATTTTCCTTCCTCCCTGATCTGGGCAGAACATTAAGTACCCTCTTCTTTGGCAATGCCTGTGCCCTCTTTCATACTTTTGTTTTGTACTTATTACATTGTACTGTCATTTCTTTTTCTTCTTTTATGTTTTTGAAATAAGTCCTTTCTCCATATTGAATTGTGAACAACTTGCAGCAGATGCTGATTTATGCCTGTCTCTGCTTTTTTTCTCTTAGGACACAGCAGAGTAGCAGGAAGCAATAGGCACTCAGTAATTATTTACTAAATGAAAGTATAAATGGCCATGTTGAAGTGTATCAGGTGTATTTCAAAACCACTAATGCTATGGACTGAACTGTGTCCCCTCTAAATTCATGTGTTGAAGCCCTAACTCAACGTGATGATATTTGGAGATGGGGCCTTTGGGAGATAATTAAGGTTAGACGAGGTCATGAGGGCTTCACCCTCATGATAGAATTAGTGCCCTTAGAAGAAGAGACACCAGAGATCTTGTTGTCTCCCTCTTCCATCATGTGAGGTCACAGAAGGAAGGCTACCTTCTGCAAACCAGGAAGAGGGCTCTTACCAGAATCTGGCCATGCTGGCAACCTGATATCTAACTTCCAGCCCCCAGAACTATGAGAAAATAAATATCTGCTGTTTAAGCCACTCAGTTTATGGTATTTTGTTATGGCAACCTGAGCTAACTAACACAACTATGAGTCAAGATTTAGTTATTTAAAGAGCAAAATAATGTAAACATTACAAATATTTCTTATTTAAATCCTCTAAAAAATAGCTGTTTGCTTTTTCAAAGAAAAGGCCATATCAAATGCACTTAGAGTAGATACTGCAAACTATCTTCCAAATAAACTAGAGGCATAATTTTTGGTATTTTCCTGGTAAACTAAAAAGCTTGTTGTAAGCATATACAGTTGAAAATGAAGTAATTTCACAGAGGAACAATTAATCAATAGGAAAGCATAAATTACCTTGAGGAATTCATTATCAATTAGAGTTATTCATCAGGTTTCCGTTTTGGTTTTTCTCACAGAGACCATTCACTAAAGACCCTGTATTCCTTGTACTTCGCTAGGCCTTATATCTTAAATTAATTTTACTTTGTCTTGTTTAATAGAGAAAATGTTTAAGATGTCATGAAAACTCCCTAATGTATTATTTATATATTCAAAAAAGATTTATTGTGCATTGTGTAAATCCAATTTTGTGTTTAAAGTCAATGTAAGCTGGTTTCATCCCAGCATTTTCTCAGGACTATGAATATAACCTACGTGGTCCTTATCTGGTGAATCTATTCTCATAAATGAAGCGTAAAAATATGTACTTTAGATTAGCAGTATACACACTTGAATTTCATGGATGAGTAACATTTTTAAAATTCGAGGAACTAATGCCAAGTTATTAATATTTTACTTGGCCAAATAATAACATCAAAAACAAATAAATACCACTCTCAGCTATCACCATTAGTTCGCAAATGACAGGGCATTTTAACACAAAATAATTAAAGAATATAATCTTAGAAGAGAATAAAGGGTGGTTTTCACAGTGACTTATATTTAGTTTAATGGTGAAAAACATCCACTATGTTCTTTATTTTTCTCATTTCAGACTAGGCTGGTGAAACTTTGTTAAGAACAAATCCATCTCTGGGATAGATATCTCTACTTTGTTCCTTTTATTCACTATTCAAAATCGCTTTCTTATTTTAATTCTTAGAGCTGGTTAATAAAATAATAAGTAAACTTGATTTAATCCCATCAGCCTTGCAGGGTCCAACTGAAAAATGCGGATTTACTTACCTGTAAATATTTTCTCTCATTTTGTCAAATACTAAAGATAAATGATGTTTTTGATACTACAATTACTTTATATTTCTGCATTTATAACATGTCATATAAATATTTATGTAAAGGTTATAAATCGAAGGCTAACAAATATAACAATAAAACTTACATGTTTGGATCTAACGAAACTATCCTTGTAATTACAATTCCAAGAATCAGAGTTGTTAAAACTGTAGAAATAAGGGAGATCTGCAAAAGAAAATGTAAAGATATTGTACGTTTAGGATAGAGATTATTTTATTTAAGACATTACGTTGTTCTCTTTTTTCCTTAAGGAAACTTATGCATAGATTTTTCTATCCAGTTCTCTAGCAGTTTATTCTTATAGTTGGTGTTGATAATCTCAGGCATGTACCTTCTTATCAGATCAGTCTTAGTCCCCCTTCCTCCCCACCCAAATAGGCAAGCAAGTATCATACGTGACTGTTGTTCTAATCTTGCAACATGGCTTTAAACACTTTTAGTGGCTTGCTGCACAGAACACAAAACTAAAGATGTTAGTTTATGAAAGTGAAAGTGAAATTATATATTTTTTCTTCAGGCCCTATTTTAGTGTAGACTTGTGCTTTTTTCTATCTATAATCGCTTCTACAACATTTGTCTTTATCATACCCTCTCTCTTCCAACGAAACACACATACCTCCCTGTCCCCAGCACCTCTGGGGGGTGCCTCTGCTTTTTCCTCTCTGCTCTCTAGCCCTGTGGTTTTGTTCTTTGGTCTGTGTTTCTAGGTCTGTTTTGCTTCTTCTGCTCTGTTCTGTCACTATTTCAACTGGTTAAAATATAAACAGGTCTATATGGGTATGTGCTCTGTGCACTCATTACATTAGGTCTGTGTTTCTATTCTTATTTTTTTTTTTTTTCCTTTTTGTCTTTTTTACTGACCGGTAACGGGATTGCAACCCTCAGTGTCACGCCTGTACCGGGGACCGGCAACGGGATTGCAACCCTCGGTGTTGTGCCCACAACGCGCTCAGCCAGTGAGCAGAACTGGTCTCTACATGGGATCCGAACCCTCGGCGGGAGTGCCGCCACACTCCCAAGCGGTGCACTCTCCAGTGCGACACCGGCCGGCCCTATTCTTATTTTTTTTAATGGATAAACACACTTTAGATTTTTTCTCTGATAAAAAATAACATAAAATTGCATTTATTTCATGTAATTCTCATTAATCTTGTTTTCTAAGTTGTTAATTTTTAACCAGAAACAAGTCTGTATTATGGGTCTGCTGATCTTCTGAGAAACAGAGATTAAGTAACATGCCCAAGGTCACACAGCTGGAAAGTGACAGAGAGGGGACTCAAATGCAAGCAGCCTGATTCTAGATCAGGGTTCCTGACTACTCTGCTTTGCACATTGGGAGATTTATTTAAATATTTCAATATGACACTTTTAAGGGACATTTCAGGACAAAATGTTCAGGTGCACTGATAATATGACAGAATATAAATAGCTTTCTTTTCATGAATGCCTGGCTTTCTGCTCTCAGAAGACAACATTTATGGGCCGGCCCGGTGGCGCACTGGATAGTGCGCCACTTGGGAAGCGCGGCGGTGCTCCCGCCCGAGGGTTCGGATCCCACATACAGACTGGTTCCCGCTCACTGGCTGAGCGAGGTGCCGGAGCAACACCTAGGGTTGCGATCCCGTTGCCGGTCCCCGGTCCGGTACGGGGGCAACACTGAGGGTTGCGATCCGTTGCCGGACACGGAAAAAGACAAAAGACAAAAAAAAAAAAAAAAAAAAAAAAAGACAACATTTATGTCTGCAATGAACATTTAAAATTAAAAAAAAATAGTTCAATCATTTAGATAATTTACAAATTCACAAAAAGGCCCTTTTGATTATTCTTATTTATTTTTGTACAACTGTTAGGGATGAAAGGTGTAGTGGTCAGAATACTCTAGAATACTGTTTCCACCCTAAGCTTTACCTGGAAGAAGGGACTTTGTAACTGGATGCATAATAACAAACATCACAGTGAAAAGTATAATTCAGTTAATTTTTGGATTTTTCAATAGAATATAAAAATATCATATGAATAATTCTTTAAAATTTTTTTTCATCAGAATGCTTAGTATCATGTAGACCTAGCACCAATAATATTTTGGGTAAAATATAAACATCCCTTGAGAATAAGGGAATAAAATACAGCCAGAGAAAGGCTCATCTTTGCAAATGAGCTTATGTGATGAATTAAATAGTTATTTGGTTGGCTTCATTAGAAAAAGTTCAGTATTTCTTTTTTAGCAATAAGAATCATAAATATTGGCCAAATTTTCAATAATTGACCAATTAACACATTGACATTTAAATTCACTGGGTGAAAAACAGGCACAATAGATATTATGATTTACAAATAAAAATATTTTAAGTCGTTGAAATGATTCACTCTTACTTCTTAGTTTAATTTTAAGTTGTTTAAACCACCTACACAAGAAAAGTGCTTTTCTAACAAATTAGACTTGCTTTAAGTATAGTTCTTTATATTTTCTAAACTTAAAGTGTGCTGTCTGACATCAGTTAGGGTATCTACCTTAAAAAAGAAAAAAATATATCTTTAGCTCACACTCATCAACTATTTAAGCATTAGTTCCGCAAAACAAGCTAATGATTCAACCACAGTTTACTCTAGCATAATCGTAAGTAAACTAAATGAAACTAAAGAAGAATACCGTAACTTTGCCAAATTGACAGTGGGTAGACAAAATTAATGTAGGTAACAAGGTGCATTTCTATACTTATTAAAATGTAAAAATTACCTTTCCAAGCTTTGCTATATTTCGGTACAAGGATAAAGGCAGAGTAAAGGTAACCGTAGAAAGCACAATAATGAAGTGGCGACCAATAAACAAGTTTTCAGGTTCAACTAAAACACAATGAATATTATTGTTTATAGATATAAGTAACATAGTGACACAACTAAATATCCAAGCATTTAATTATAAAAATGGCTTCAATAACACAAATACTACATAAATGACAATGAATTTGAGTTAATGAATTCCAAAGAACTATGTAAAAATAGAAATAAATTATAAAAATTTAAATACAAAATAATTTAAGGATGGACCTATACTTCAAATTGTTATAATATTTTATATTCAAATTATTTTAATAGCCTCCTAATAAGTATCACTGCTTCTGCCTTTTTTTGTCTCCTTAGCATTTACTTATAACCCAGAAACTAAAGAGATTTTTTTCAAAGGTAAAAAGATTATGCCACTTCCTGTCTAAAATCCCCTAATGGCAAAACCCTTCATGTAGAGTGTAAGCTACACGAGGACAAATAATTTCTTGAGGTGGTTTACTATTATAACGAGTAAATGCAAACAGTAAATAATAGTGTGTGTATACACATTCAAATAGAAACAGAAGTTGTAAACATAAAATAAAATATGTAAGGATTTATATATTTTAAAAGCTATGCTAACCAAAATAGTCACTTAAGGAGCTATATATCTCTTCCAATAAAGACATCATTGTATAAATGTTTTAGCTTATATTGAATTTCTTTCAGAGACCATGTCATTATACTGTTGTAATTTCCTCAGTGGTACCAAATCATTGTGCATTAATTTCTGTGAAGTCTAAAGTCTATAGGGGTCAAGTCTTAAAAAAGTGAATGATGTGGTAAAAAAAAAAAAGAGTTACTATTCTGAATAATGAGACTAATTTTCTTATATGGTTAACTAACTTACAAGGAAGTTCCAAGATAGGAATTCCAAAATGACATAAATTTTACTATATACCTATGTGTATGTGAATGTGTATAAATACCTATACACATTTAAAATTATATATGTGCCCCTCTGCCGGGAAACAAGCAAGTCAGCACACCCAGTGTCCCAGGAAAGGAGCCAAGGGTTGCAGCCCCCTCTGTCTGGAAGCAGGCAAGACAGCCCACCTGGGGTCCTAGGCAAGGATATGAGGGCTACAGCCCCCTTCACCTGGGAGCATGCAAGACAGCATGCCCGGGGTCCCGGGCAAAGAGCTGATGGCAGTAACCCCTGCTCAAAAGCAGGGAAGAGAGCACTACGAAAACCCCACACACAGGTGGCCCACTATGGCTACCACCACAGCCACAGCTGCCAAAAAAGCAGCTTGATGCCACAAGAGCAGCCACAGCCACTGTGCAGGTCAACTTTATTGACACGTGGAGAGTCATCAGCAGAGACTGGAAAAAGATATTTCTCTCCTCAAAGCCCACTTCCAGAGTAATAGAAGAAGAACTATTCTACCAGATGACCAGGCATCACTGTAGAGATACTAGAAATACAAAAAACCAAGAAAATATGACGCCACCAAAAGAATACAGTAATTCTCAAATACCAGACCCTACAGAGCAAGAAACCATTGAAATGACTGAAAAGGAATTCCAAGCAACAATCTTAAGGAAACTCACTGAGATATAAGAAAATACAGTTAGAAAACATAATGAAATGAGAAAAAAAAATCCAGGATATGAAGGAGGAAATTTACAAAGAGATTAGTACCTTAAAAAAGAATGTAGCAGAACTCACAGAAATCAAAGATTCACTCAATGAAATAAAAAACACAACCAAGAGCTTAAGCAGCAGGCTAGAACAAGCAGAAGAAAGAATTTCTGATCTTGAAGATAGTCTTCTTGAAATAACCCAGGTGGACAAGAAAAAGGGAAAAGAGAATTTTTAAAAATGAAGAAAATCTAAGAGAGCTAGCAGACAACCTTAACCACACAAACATTCAAATCATGGGTGTTCCAGAAGGGGAGGAAAAAGGAAAAGGCATAGAGAACCTATTCAATGAAATAATAACAGAAAACTTCCCAGGTATAGGGAGAGATGCAGTGTCACCTCTCCCAGGGTGATGGAGATGAAAAGGATTACTCAAAGCCCATTTCTCCAGAGTGATGAGAGGCCCGAAGGGGTTAATCCCAGGAGGAATTCCCTCAAGAGAGAAGGATCCCAGGAGTAACCCCAAATCAGGTTTTCCCTCAGTTTTTATTGTCCAGGCAAGAAGGTTACAGAAAAGAACACAGGTGGTTAATCAGTTATAGTGTAAGCAATTTACTATCTAAGGAGTCAAAAAACTAAGCTATGTGAAGTACAAAAAGAAACAATGAGATAATCGTCATGGCAATGCTTAGTTCCCTAAGAAACTTAAAGAAACAGTTGAAGGCAAGATGTGGAATATCCCCCAACCATTAACCTTGAAGCTTTTAGTTCACATACGTTCCCATCATTAGATATAGCTGTACCAAGGACAAATGCCCTTATAGCAGTCACTTTTGCTGTGTTACAATTTTCTTATCTATAACAGAGACTTTAGTCCTGAGAAAGTTTTCTGTTTTATCCAAGCTTAGCATTTCTATGTGTAATTCTAAAAAGTTAGGCTATTCCTTAAACTACAGGGCTTTGGTCCTGCTAAAACTAAGGACTGTGGTCCCACTAAGATAAAGGTTAAGGCCCTGTGAAATACATGTGCTTTATTAATGTTAGTATCCTCCACAATGCAGACTTTAAGATCCAAGAGGCTCAAAGATCCTTAAACAGATTCAATCCACAAAGATCCTCTCCAAGAAAGATTAAAATCATACTGGCAAAGCTCAAAGACAAAGAGAGAATCTTAAAAGAAGCAAGAGAAAAGAATCAAGTCACCTATATGGGAGCGTTATATGTTATTCTGCATATTCCCCAGTATGCAGAATAACAGCAGACTTCTCAACAGAAACTCTACAGGCCAGAAGAAAATGGCATGATGTATTCAAAATACTAAAAGAAAATAACTGCCAGCCAAGAATACTATACCCAGCAATGCGATCCTTCAGAAATGATGGGAAAAAGGTGAATTCCCCAGATAGACAAAAGCTGTGGGAGTTCACCACCACATGACCAGACCTACAAGAAATCCTTAAGGGAGTCCTGCATCTGGAATCTGAAAAACAATAATCACTCCTAAGTATACACAAGAGAGTATAATACCCACTGGTACAACATAAATGCAAATGAGGAAGAGAAAGAAACTAAATCTTACCACCACAAAAAGCCATAGTGACAATGAATAACACCCCTATTTTATTTCTGATTTTAGTAATTTCGGTCTTCTCTCTTTTTTCTTTGTCAGTTTAGACAAAGGTTTGCAAATTTTGTTGATCTTTTTAAAGAATCAACTTTTGGTTTTGTTGATTTTCTCTATTGTTTTTAAATTCCCTATTCCATATATTTCTTTTGTAATCTTTGTTATTTCATGCTTATATTTGCTTTTGATTTAGTTTTCTCTACTTTTTCTATTTTCTTAAAGTAGAAGTCCACATTAAAAAAAATTGTTACAAATGTATCATACTAGTGTAAGATATTAATAATAGAGGAAGATGGTGGGGGATGTCTGAGAACTCTCTGTACTATCTTCTCAATTTTTCTTTACATCTAAAACTGTTCTAAAAAATAAACTATTTATAATTAAAGAATAAATAAAATTATGTATATTTAGCTTTTATGTGTATATACATATATAAAATAATTTTATATATGTGTATAAAATAATAATTTTATATATGTATATACACATTCACACACACATACATACCGGTATGGAATAATTAATCATGAGTAATAGTTTAACTCAGCCATAACTAAACAGTCACCATAAAGCTAAGAATTAAAAGGAAGCTCCAGTTCCAAAAACCCTGAACTCACTGCTTACATATTTCGTTGAACATAATGAACCAAATTATTTATATAACTGTTTCTATTTACCCCATTCAAACCTTTTGCTTCATTGGGAAAATGCTAAGGCCTAGAAAAACACTGAGACAGAGTGCTATATTAGCATGTAGGAGCCTAATAACTGAGGATCTCCATTAGAGTAAAGGCTATTTTTTTACTAATGATCTGATGATGAGATCTATTACCTATACTGATCTACCAAAAATGCACCCAAATATGCATTTTAAATGTTTAAACAATAGTAAAGAAGACTGAACATTGAAATATTTGAAAAACCTCAAAATCATCTGAACATACTATTTCTTACATCAACATTTCTTGTTACTTTGACTTTTATCAAGAACCAAGGCTTTGGTTATTGGAGAAAGCAAAAGCAATTACCACTTGCCAGCCTAGGACATTAGTGATATATTTCAGAAAAAAAAAAAAAAAAGAGCTTTGCAAAGGATTTCATCTACTTCTAAAAATACTCTGGCCTAATATTATGCCTTACAAGATATACAAACAAAGCATACATTATAAACTACTACACTGAAAAATGGTGAAGAAAGTACAAGAACGAATTTGTGACCTATGTTTGAAAAGTCATTTTTGATAGTTATAAAATTGATAACCAGGAAGAGGGTTTCAAGGGGACCTTTAGCCTTATGTATGTTTTATTTTTATGAGTATATATTCATATATTATTTGTATAATTAAAAATCAATAAAGATTAATCAAAATGTTTCTATCAGGAAAAATTAATTATGATTTATGTAAATGTATAGTAGATTCTATATTAGAGAATACAGAACTTCCATTAAAGCAAATAGAATAGATCTTTATGTTTTGATATGAAAATATGCCCTTAATTTATTACTAAGAGAGAGAAGCACATTATAGAACAAGATGTGTGTGTTACATTATATGAATATCTGAAATTACATGTATTCTTAAAACTCTGAAAGTATATATTAAAAAGGAAGGTAAAAAAGAAGGAAGGAAGGTCGAATTTAGAAGGACTGTCCCAACCTGGATGTCCCAAGAAGTAGTAGTTATTAGTACTTTCTATTTTCTCCATTTTGCTTGTCTGTGTTTTCTAATATTTTCCCAATAAATATGTATTACTTCTCAAATAAGAAAACAGAGATAAAAATTATTTTAATTAGTAATGCTAGATTGAAAAACCTTGGAAAATAACAAAGGAAACAAAAATCCCATGAATCTTACAATTAAAAGAAAACCACAGTTTATATGTGAATATATTTCTTTATTATTTTTTCCTAACTTACGTATGCAGAAAATTTACATAATTTAAGTCATATTATATGATGGTATTGTATTCTGCCCGTCTCTCCTTAGCATTCTCTCTACTCACATGATCTCATTTTGTGTAATCATGATTTGGAGGTTGGGGGCTAGGACAGAAGCCACGGACAGTTCAGAGAAATATTTATGTAACAGCACTGAGTAAGCCCACCCTGTGCTAGGTACTGCCTATACTGTCTCTTTTGCTTCACACAGTTCTATGAAGCAGGTGATATTTTTTTTTTTTCCTTTCTGTCTTTTTTTCGTGACCAGCAACGGATCGCAACCCTCAGTGTCGCGCCCATACCGGACCGGGACCGGCAACGGAATCGCAACCCTTGGTGTTGCACCCGCACCTCGCTCAGCCAGTGAGCGGCCGGTCTGTATGTGGGATCCGAACCCTCGGCGGGAGCGCCACCACGCTCCCAAGTGGCGCACTGTAGCAGTGCGCCACCGGGCCGGCCCAAGCAGGTGATATTTTAATTCACAATTTAGAGGTGAGAAGACTGGAACTCAGAGAGGACAACTAAACTTCTCAAGGTCACATAGGTAGTAAGTAATGAGTTTGTGATTTGTTAGCCAAGTCTCCTTGATCTCAGGTTCTACTAAACCCTCTGAGAGGAATAGGTGCAATTTCTAGCTCTAGGCTTTGTTTCATTTTGTTTCTCATGTCTCTAGAATGAGTGATTCAAACACTAAGAGGAAACGTGTTTTTATTCATCTATAATAACAACTATCAAGTTAGATCACAATGAAATGGGGATTTATGTGGCTTGGATAAGACGCTTTGAGCAAAAAGACTCAGGATCTGTGAATTATTCTAATAATCATGATATGGTGAAAAGTTGAATGGGGAGTGGGATTGTGCCACACGTTGAGGAGTTCTGCTTGAGAATGTTCACAGTGGCTTTTTTGTAATCATCCCAAACTGGAAACAACACAAATGTCTCTCAACTGGGAGACAGATAAACTGGAATCTGTAAAATGGAATGCTTCTCAACAATTAAAAAAAAAAAAAAAAAAAGGAGCAAATGCAAACTACTGAAACATCCCAAGACACAGATGAATTTTAAATGCACCTTGCTAAGTGAAAGAAGCCAGACTGGAAGAGCTACATATTGCATGATGCCATTTACATAGCATTCTGGAAAAAGCAAAACTATGCAGAGAAAAATGAGATCAGTGGTTGCCAGGGACTAGAGACAAGGGAGGATTTGATTATAAGGAGAAATGGTGAAAATGTGGGGAAGTGATGGAATTGTTTTGCATTTTTATTGTGGTTGTGGATATATGACTATATGCACTTGTCAAAACTCACAGAATATGCATTAAAAATGTTAATTTTACTGTATTAAATTATACCTTAATACAAATAATGGGGAAACAGCTTGCTTATTCAAAAAATGATGTAGTATAAATAGTACATGAAAAAAATGTTCCTATAGAGAGCTGGGATAGAAAACAAAGAATTTAGAACATGAAGTATTCCAAGTATATGAAGAATAACATTTTTTCAAACAGCTAAAGAACTTAAATTATATATAAAAGTAGATCAACACTTTAGGATCCGAACGGATCATGGGAATTGCAAGATATCTCAATTAATGCGAATTCTTCACTTTTAAATATTTTATTCATAAATTATTATGAACCACATTAACTATAAATAATTATATAAATTAATATATTTAAAACTTCAAAATTTTTATTTTGTCTTACCTCCTGGGATTCTTTGAAAAACTTTGCTCAAAGTATCTCCAGCTATTATGTTATAACTTATCATAGCTAAAAACATAATTAAAATAATACAGTCATGAACAAGTCATCACGTATCTCACACTGAATATTTTGAAAGTAACCAGTTATTACTTCCCAAATATTGGTATAATCCTACTACTTTCAAATATATATTATGATTACCAATATGTACAACCTTTAAAATAACTAGACAACAGATTTATAATACAGTATCAATTTGTATTACAAAAAGATTTTCACTTTAAAATTGATTCATCCCAGAATACCTTTAAATAGTGAGTTTGGGTAGTCATTTAAAATGCAATTTATTTTGTTGTTAACATTCAGTTTCCAAACACCTTTTCAGGAACACATGTACTGCCTAAAGTGAGGGAGAATAACAGAAAATTTTGAAGGCACCAAAAGGAACTAGTGGTTTGAACAATAGCTTCTGTAGTATTGATTTAAAAAATGAAGGTCAATTTGAACATTGGTAAATATTAATATTTTACTTATTTAAGAAGTGCTGGGTGACATTTTCACTATTAAGGTACAAACTTTAAATAGCATGTTGGCCTAGTACATGGCTTCCACAAATCCTTAGGTTTTCAAAAAAAAAAAAAAGTACTAGGAGTTAGAAGAAATCTGTTACTTTTCTCATTCACTTTAATCTGAGATCTTTCTGTTTTTTACCAGATAAGAAAAGCCCAAACATTAACCCAGTGAAAGTCACCCTCATTTTACTTCAGAGAAATACTCCAAAAATAAACCAAAAGGACCAGAAAATAAGGAAGAAAATGGTTAAGGAAGTAAACGTTTCATTTGGAAGATATTTCAACTGCTAATATTCTTTAATGACAATTTAATGACTATTAAAATTATTTTATTCAGAAATGAATTATGTTTACACAAATAATTGCAATATTCATCTTCACAATCATCTTACCTATAAAGGGATATAAAAACTGTAGAAGAGAGAGGAGGAGATACCCTGGAAAGCCAAAGGTTTTATTAACCAAAGACTGGTAGGTGTCTGTTCCAGAGAGGGCCCCTCCTTTTATCAATAAAACAAGGGAGAAGTCTGTTGCAAAAACAATTGAACAAATGTCAGATTAGTTTTAAGACAAAAGTTTTCCATGTTTTTACTTAACTACCATTGAGAAAAAGGGAAATTTTAAAGAAGAGTTTAGTTTAAGTAGGAGCTAAGAGAGAAAGAAGAAAGGAAAGAAAGACAGACCACAGCAGAGTGTTGGACTGGCAGAGAGAGGGAGCATACTTAGGGGTGCAGAATGGGGTGGTGGAAGAGAGGAGGGGGAGGGAGGTCAGGGACTAATTGGGTGGGGGACACGAGGAATAACTGCAGTTTGTGGTAATGTGCATGTTGATAGTATTGATCTGGCCATCACATCTTGGCCACAAGTGGTGATGGTCAGCTTTGTACCCCATGAATATGCATAACCAATAAAATAAAATAATAAAATAAAATTTAAAAAGAAGAGTTTAATGCTATAGTATTACCATGATAAGGCTAACTTTCTTTTCTAAAATACTACCTTTTATGAAACTGTAATGTTTCCAGTTATATATTTTTCAATCAAGATGCAAATATACTTAATACATCCATGCAACCAACTGGACACAAGAGGGTACACAGACTAGAGTCAGAGTGCCAGTGTTCCATTTTACTTTCCTAACCTAACCTGTGTAACTACTGTTGTTAGGGTGTAGCTCAATTTTCCAAACGACAGAACGTAGGGCATCAGATATTTCGTAGACATTCAACAGGTAAAGACTGAGAATGGAAAATGTAAAGACTAAGAATGGAAAAAACAGACTGAGAATGGAAAAGCATTTAGGAAATAATAGGTTTAGGAGAATCGAAGCATTGTTTTATAACAAAATAAAATTAGTAACTGTATTTTATAGCTGTTATGGTTAAGAGAGCACTCTAAGAATTTTTTTAAATTTACATTTTAGGAATTTCAGTTTCAATTTTAATACTGAGGTTGAAGATGCAAATACATAGAAATTACATAATTAAAAGTTAATCTCTTTTTTTCATTTAACTCAATTTTTTTTTTTTTAATTACAGAAAGACCCTTCAGTTATATTGGTTGTGCATTGTGTTGGTACACAGTCATGTACAAGGTATAATATTTGCTCTCTATTTTTTCTCATGCTTTCATCACAATGATTCCTTTTTATCTTTTCAGTAATTTGATAGTGCATTAAAATGCAAATCATTGCAATGTGGTTTCCACCTTGATTCCCTTCCACATCAGTGAAACTTATTTCGAAAGCTCATCACTGATCTCCAAATTAATAAATCCAGTTAATCTCCAAATTAATAAATCCTAATTTATTTATTTGTTTGTTTATTTATTTATTAATAAATCCTAATTTGATCTCCAAATTAGTAAATCCTAAACATTAATTTTATTTGTTCTTTCAGAGCGTTTTCTTGCTGCTTACCATTCTCCTTTTTCTCAACCATCCTCCCTTGGCCTTTGTGATACTCCTATCTCTTGGTTTTCCTCCTACCTTTTTGGCCATGTGTACTCAATTTTTCACCAGTTTATTTTACTCTGTTCAAGTCCTGGATCCTTGTACTTTTTTTTTCACTCTTCAAGATGTCCTACTGAGATCTCATTCATACCCGGGGTTTCAATTTTCATACAGATCTTAATAACCCTTAAATTTGTATTTTTAGGTCAATTCCCTTCAAAATTCCAGACTTCTACATCTAACTGCCTAATAAATGTTTTACCTTGAAAATCTCTTAGACATCTCAGTTTTAAAATGTCCAAATTTTAATTTGTGTATTTGTTCTGGAAATTTATTCCCCATCCATATTTTTCCAATCTGTAAATATTGTCAACAGAAACTTGAGACCTGCCCTAGACTTCTCATTATCCATTACTTTCTATATCCCTTTGGTCACCAAGTTCATGAACCATTTCATCATAAATATTGAACCGTATCCCCTAATTTCTAATTTCTAACCTGCTTTATTGCAGAGTGCTGGTCTTTATAATGACTTACCTAAATTACTGCAACAACCTTCTGATCTTTCATCCACCAATCTGGCTTCCCATCAAGATACTTTTGACATCCTCTCCTTACCAACGCATTCTGGACATTCCCCCTCTACTAGGCGAATCTGATCATAGCGTAAACCTAATCCTTTATTCTGCTTAAAATCCTCCAGGAAGATCCACTAATTCCTTTGGATAAAAATAAACACCTTTTCATGAGGCAGAAAAAATTATTTCTTAGCAATGTGACCTTGAGTAAAAGACTTGACTTTCCTGAGTCTCATCTGTAAAGCAGGGGACTATGTCATTGAGGATTATGGTGTTTAAATGTCTATCACAATGCCTAGTGTGTTACAGAGGCCAAATGAATGAGAATTTCTGCTATTTTTACTTATTTTTGACAAGCTAGATGTGGTGGTGGAAAAAACATCGTATTTGGAGTCTGATAATAATGATAACAATCACAAAGCAATAGCAAATGCTTTCAGAACACTTTTTTGTGTGCCAGATATGTGCTATGATTACCCCCATTTAATAGATGAGAAAAATGAGTCACAGCAGGTTAAGTAAATTGCTGATTTCCACAAAGCTGGTAATGAAAGAGTCAGGACACAGGTCCTGGTGGGCTGGCCCCAGAATCCACACACTTAATCAAAATCCCAACTCTGTTGCCAGTAACTGCAGACCTTGGGTAAGTTATTTTAACCTATTAAAGTTTCATTTTCCTCCTCCATAAAAGTAAAACATAAATATCTACTTCATGGAGTCAGAAGGATTTAGTATTGCGGCTTCATTGTGCTCAGCACCTAGCCAGTCCTCAGGAAATGGTAATGATCATCATTATAGAAGAGCTTTCGTATCTGCCTCTGCAAACTCTCTAACTTCCCCTCTCTCCACTTAGAAACATCAATCCTACACTTTAGCCAGATTGACTCACTGGCATATTTCCCTTTTGCATTTCTGCATTTCCATCTGCTTTAGTACACATTTTCTTTGCTAACTCAATTTTTTCATAAACATTCAGTGGAGATATTTCCTCCTCCCTACAGTATTCCTTTTCCTTAGAGGATGGGTAAAATGCCAGTGTCCCTATCATCATGTACATATTTTTATTGTAGCATTTTTCATGAAATAGTGTAAATATGTGTTTTTTGCCAATCTAACACATCACATCATGAGCTTCATAAAGGCATGGATAATGTTCTTCATTGCTATATTGGCAGCGATATTGATGCATGGAACACTGGTGATTAAGTATTTATTTGCTGAATGAATCAATATCAATATAGCAGAATTGCTAAATCTTGACGTATCCAACTCTAATTTAATGTGATACATGACCTAATACATAGATTTTAAAGTATTCTGCAAACACGAAGTTGTAGCAATTAATTCTTCTTCCTTTGCTTAAAACTAGGTAATACTTCACAGAAGAATTGAAAAGTGCCTTGGAGGATAAACAGGATTTCAACAGGTTGAGAAGAAAAGGAATGTCAAACAGGAGGACTATCAAAGGGAAGGCAGTGTGAAAGCATGGGTAGGGAATGGAAAAGTCCAGAATGACTAGAAGAGAGGGTTTGCATGTGACATTGTTGGTGACAGGGTAAGATTGAGGATATAGTATTTTGAAATGAGACTAAAAATGAAGACTGTTGCCAAACTATGGAAGAATTTGAATTTGAACCAATAATTGTTTGGTTGTTGTTTTCATTATAGAGTCTTGGAATGTTTTGAATGGGGAACTAACAGAAATGAGGACAAGGTTTCATTAACATAACTCTTGCAGCAATATGGAGGACTGATGACAAATTGACAGATGCAAAAGGCAGGAAGACTTAACAGCAAATAATTATTGGCCAAAGAAGAGAACCATGAGGAGTTGTGTCATAGGGAGGAGGCAACCAGTTTCATAGATGCTGTAAAGGTTTGGTGAAGAACTGGATGTTTGTGATGAGAACACTGAGAGTTTTATAAAAGTTCAAAAGGTACTGTTTAAGGTTAACAATTTGTTAAGAATCTAACCCATAATAAATATAAATGCTTTCACCTGCTTGTAAAATACAGACCATACATATATTCCTTTAAAAGTATTAGGTATCTCAAATATCAATCACTATAACATTTTGATCTCCCTTTAAATATATTATACACAACTTTTAAAATAATTCATGAATGAATCAATGTTATTTAACAGGGCAATTTTCTTTTAAATCATTATGTATAGTTTGGACAATAGAAATTATTTCACTCTTATCAACCAAATATAAAAAATCTTAAAGCAAATTAAAATAAAATTATTTGTTATACATATTTATAATTTTCCTCAACATCTCACAGACATGAAAAAAAAGCCTTCCTGTTGAACTGAACATATCTCATTAAAGGCCTTAAAAAGGCAAAAGAAAAATTCTAGAGACAAAGCACTGTTTAATTATAGGGTCAATCTAAAGAAAAAAATCAATATTATACCCTACTTATCAATGTTGCTGTTAAAAGTCAAATTAAGAAACAAAATGAATCATAGACTATAAATTCTGCCTTTGTGTGGTCATCCTTTATCAAAATTATTAAAAATCTGTATCATGCACATAAATTAAAAAGGAGTTAGTAATTTCTACAGTAATCTTGCAAAGTACTGCTCACAGTCATTGCTAGAGGCTTATACAGAGTATTAGTTGAAAAAGTTATTCACATTAAGATTTATTTATGTATAATATGATTTAGTTTTAATAAACTGTTCACTCTTTTCAAGTCCTGAATTCTCAGGTGATATATAATTTTTAATTTTTTCTATCTACTGGTTTACCATATGTGTAAATGTTTACAATTCACTTAAATAAATCATGGTAATTATGCCTGGGTGGAATTATTTGTCAGCGCTGACTGACTGGGAAACAGGAAATTTTAAAATGACAAGGGTGAATCCTTGAATGGGATTTTTTAGTGTGATGAACGCTCACTATATAGAATGCAATTTATAAATACTGGCAACTCTTAATAAGCACAAAATTATGGGTCCCACACTACTAAGTAATGGGTCTTAAGCCACAAATTAAGACTGTGGAAGCTCAAAGCAGCCTAGGTCTTGGTGGTGGGGGCAGTGAGAAGGCAGAGGGAAGTCCAGTGTCTGTGCAGCTTTGAATTTGCTGTCTGTTACATGCTTTACTGTCTCTTCTTCAGCCTGAGGAAGAAGAGAGAGTTGTGGCTCTTCTTGGAAGCCTGAGACTTCATGAGGGATGGCATTTTCGTCAGGGTCTCCAGGAGCAGAGCTGAGACAGAGATTCTTGGGCAAGGGGTTTATGGATGGCATGCTTTCAGGGGAAGGGGGTAAGAGGACAGGGCAGGGGAAAGAGCTCAGCAAGGGCTGTGGTGATGGAACTCTGGAACTCCAAGTGGACCACACACTGGCCCCTCCTGGAGGCAAGGACGCCGGCCTTTGGATTCCTACCAGTCAGTCACTGGCTGAAGGCTGTGGGGACATGGGGGCTGAGGGTGTCATAATCTCATAGGAGGATGGCTCCCTTGAAGCCCAAGCCAACACTCCACAGAAGGGGCGGCCAGCTGAAATGTGTACTAGCTGGTAAAAGGGCATCTAGGTGCCACACTCAGCAGCCACCACAGCAGCATCCCCTGTAGGGGGGGGTCTACTTATGGTCATGCCTGTTTCACAGTGATCCTAAAGAAGAAGAAAAATGCTGTTTGTCACAAGGTGAGCTGGTAGATGACAGGTCAGGGAAGAGGACAACAGGAAGAGCAGATGATTATGAGTTGTACAGCCTGCATTTAGAGGAAGTAGTGACAAAACGCAGGAGTGAATAAACATGTTACGCTAAGAGGGGGAGGCAGAAGAGAAGGAGCAATACAGAAACACCTTATTGCCGCATTTAAAGACAGTGGCTGGCAGGAAGCACGGACAGGTATGGGTGAGACGGGGAGGGTGGCGAGCCCTGCTGGTGGAGCGGCGGGGCTTTCAGCGCCCCCAGCACAGACACAGCTGAAGAAGGTTGCTCATTCGCATGCACCTGCCCACAAAGCTCTGCCTTCTGCTCTTTCAGAGCACAGTCCTCCCTCAGCCTTAATCAGTCTCTACAATGACTCCCCCACCTACCACATTCTGCATAAAATGAACAAGGCACATGAAAAGGATTTAGGCTTGGTAATATATAATGCTCTTCTACTCTTTCTAATCTGTTTAAAGGATTAGTAAAAAAAGTAAATCTCCTCAGACATAAATGCTTCAACTCTTTAGGATTCTTTAATGGACTTTTTAATTAGCTAGGAAATTCAATTGCAGCATATGTGTGTGTGTGTGTGTGTAAAGTGTCATTGTACAATTTAAGTTGCAGAAAGAAGCATTTATATAGTATTTTACCTGTAACATATGAAACCCAGAATAAAAGCAATATTCCCAGAGGAAACCCAGCTTGCTTCATTGAATAAGGCAACCCTAGAAAAACATAAAATGCCCCCACCCCTCACATTAATAAGACAGAAATACAGGTTTCCCTCCAATTCCTATATATACTAAGTTGAGTAAATTTACATATTTACATGACATAGTTTAAGCAATGCATAGGACAGTACTAAAATTAAATGTTAACATATTAATACTTATTTCAGAACAAAATGTTATTAAGTTAGGGACACGTCAAAAAAGTACATTAATGAGGTGATGTAATAAGAATTAGCAAGCAGCAAATGAGAAATAGATGCCAGTTCACACACACAATACTTCTTTCAGGGTGAGGGCAACATCTGCCCTAGACTTCGAAGAGTAATGACCCAAACCCTTCCTTACATGCTAGCGAGGAAGGCAGAGAGGATAGCAAGAAACGCACAAAGATTATGGAATATTAAGAAAGATCAACTCTGGAGTCAAAATGGGGCAACCATGTAGGAAAAAAGAGAGAAAAACGAGAAAGACGTATTTTTTACAAAGCTGAAGGTGGTATATAAAATTATTTCTTATAATTTTGGGGGGAAGTGGACAATTTTTGATCATGGACAATAAAATATTTAAACTAAACATAGTTAAAACATTTCCACCAGAATTTTAATTCTCTGAAAAGGTTTCCCATTAAAAAAAAAAAGACAAGCTGCTGAGCATAATTAAGTGGTACTTTTTAATACTGCTGACATCAATCAGCTTAAAGTGCTCACATCAGAAATTAACTCCAGAATTCTGCCAAATAGAGCTGCCCACAACTCTGTGGCACATGGAGGCAGAATTTCAAACAAATCTTCACCCCTACTTGCTTCTTCTTCACCTCAGATACCTCCACTTTATGTACCATTTGAGAAAGAAAAAAAAGTCTATATATGGAAAAATGCAAAATCAAGAAGTTTGTGAAAAATAAGAAAAATATTTCAATCCTGATATACATTCAATGTTCAGAAAATGATGACTGAGACTCAAATGTCAAAACTTTGTAGTAAAAAGTTATATTTTCAATGAGTATTGCAGTTTGAAGGATTTTGTTTGGTCCTTGCCTTTTCTCAAATGCAATGTGTTCAAATAGTGAAAAAAATAACAAACACTGAAAAAATAACTGCTTTTATTACTATAATGCAATGAACTTAAAAAAATTTTTTTCAGAATGTTTCCCTTACTTTTAATACATTGAGAAAATGTGAACTGTTTCTTTTCATTCTGATTGGCTCCTTTAAAAAAAACATATGTATTTTTTAATTAACAAATGTGTTTTATTGACTAAATGCTATTTAAAATTAATATATCATAATACATTTGTACTTTAAAACTTAACATTGCATAGATAAATAAGGAAATATAACGTGGATTTAAGTTTTCACAAGATTGTTTTCACATTAAACTTTTGTACCTGCAGTATTTACAAATATCTGGATGTTTCATACTTCCAGTAGGATATACAAAGGTGATTCAAGTAATGGTGGACACTTCAGAGAGAGGAAAAAATGAGGTAACATCATCAAATGACTACACAGCCTTTAAAAATACTCAGCATCTCTCAAGTGCAGCTTCACCTTAATCATGTGGAGGATGCTCTCAACTATGGAAAGAGTGTAAATCAAAACCCTGTCTTCAGGAAATCCATGCGTACTATTATATTGGGAAAAAAGGAAGGCTTTTATGGAATCAAATTAACAGTTTCTCGTTTAAGATTTTTTCCTTTAAAAATAATCAACGAACACTAGGAACATATTAAGAGTTTTAAATTTGGCCTTTTCACTTAAAATTAAAAACAAAGCATAAAACACTTACCTATCAGACCAGATCCTATAATTGAGTTGACAATATTAAAAACAGCAGCAGACTGACAACTTTTCTCTTTATACTCATGTTCAGAAACCAGAGCTTCTCTGTCATCCAGATCTCTCTGTTTTAATGGATAAAATGGCGATTAAGCAAATATATGCTAGCTCATAAAATTTTAAGTCAAATATGCAAGGCAGGATACTAACACAATATCAGTAGTAATAATAGGTAATGTCAGTAAGGATAATAAAGTAATGATGAGGATAATCATATTAAAGAATAATAATAATACTGAAAAGTTCAACAGAGCTTTGTAAGCAAACTCCATCCTAAAATGTGCTGATTACAGCTGCCCCAACCGCTTCATGGAACCCCAAGAGCGCAAGATCTGTTAGCGCGTCGGCGGTGTGATTTTTGTGAAATTAAAAGGGTTACAATGAGAAGTGCCTGCCAAGAAAAAAAAAAAAAAAAAAAGGTTAAGGCAAAACTTTTTCTCCACGGTGCTTCTCCAAGACCCCAGGTGAAGTAGTTGCCCTGTTGCAAGGTGAATGCAGCTTGAGGGGGACTGGCGTCAGAGCCTGCCCCAGTCGCCAGTTTTACCTGCGGCGGGGTGACAGGTTGCTGCCCCTGGTAGCCCATGGCTGCGTGCTCTTCCTGAGCAGATGGAATGTTCTGGGGCCAGCCTCGTCCGTCACCACGCACGCCCAGAAGGTCCGCAGGGGGCCAGAGAACTGGAGAAAGCAGGTTCCGCCGGCGCCCCGGCGCCCCTGGAGCTCTCAGGGCTGCCGCAGCCCGGGGCGGTTTCTCATGGAGTTTGCCCAGCCACACGCACTTTTCCTCCTGAGGCGGACACGCTGCAGGATGTTTCTGACCTGGGCAGCTCTCTCTATCCCCCGACCCCGCCTCCCCCAGGGAACACGGAGAGCTACTCTTCCCCAAGCTGCAAAGTACAACTTGTCCCACCCACACCGCCCTGCCCAGATTGCACAGAGTTATGACGGCCTCGTTTTAGTCCACTTCTAAAATAGCTGCTCTTCTGCTGGAGTCGGATGCACAGGTCACTAGTAGACCCCTGCTCCCGTGGAGCATCTTTTCTATGAGCACCTGCTCCTTTTCTGTGACAGAGATGACAGGGGAAAAGTTAGGACTTTTATTTTAAATGGAAATTGGAAGACTTGTGAGAAGATAAACAGAAAAACCCACAAAACTTTCCTAGGATTTTAGCAATCTTGATTACAGAGCATGCTTTTGTCAAATGCTTCCTGCTAACTCTTCAGAAAGGGAGACCTAAAGAGAGGAAGGAAAGATGGATTGTTATTGGATTCAGGTAAAGAAACTTAAAAGGGGAAGAGGGATACAAGGGGATGGGAAAGACAAGGCACCCAGAGTGTGTGAACTAGAAAGAGTCTTAAATGACTATCTATTTATCCTCTTATATTACAGATGGTGAAACTGAGGCGCAGAGATTATTCAATCACAAGGAGACAGAGTACATAAGAGAACAGTGTCAGGGGCAATGAGAGTGTAAATAAGACATCAGTACTTATCAAGTACTGAATTACATAATTGAAGAGGTTCTTTTTTTTTTTAGACATTTATTTAAAATTTTGACAAACGTGTTAAAAGCATGGAAGAACTGGAGTTATCGAATAAACTCCATATACTCTCCACTGTCAAATTAACAAATATAAACATTTTGTGTTATTTTCTTTAAATTATAAAAGTGAACATTTACTGTCACAATAAAAACTCCTTTGCTGTGTCCCATTCCTGTAACCCTCCCTTCATACCTCGAGTCATCGAATTCATGAAGTTAGTGTGTGTCTTTGCTATCAGTGCTTTATATTTTAATCAATTCACCTGTAACCATAAACGATAGATAACTCTATCAAGATTTACAAAGATGGTCTATATTGTACATGTTATTTTCCCACTGGCAATTTTGTTTATTCAATATACTGTTTTGAGATGTATGATGTAGATACATGCAGATACAGTTTATTAATTTTATCTAACATAGTTCAATGAGCCCTACCCCTACTGAAAAATATTAAGGTTGGTTCTAATTTTATAATCTTCTGGAGCATATAAGCAACAATTTTCCTAGACGTAGATTTGTTAGATAGTAGGACATGCACATTTTCAGCTTCACTAAGTATTTCCAAATTGCTGTACAGATTGATTGTATGGAATTACACTTATACCAGTAGAGATGGAATTCCTGTTTTTCTGTATTGTGAAGAGCACCAGGACTTAGTTTCTTTTCAAATTTTTGTTGTTCCAGTGGGTTTTTAAATGGTATATAATTATTGCATAAATTTGCATTATTCTAATTTATATTGAGATGGAGAATCTTTTTATATATTAATTATATATGTGCACTGTCCTTTTTCTGAATTTCATTTGACATCCTTTGCCAATTTGATTTTGGTTGTTAGCCTTTTTCTTATTGATTCATAAGAGTTATTTTCATATTTGGGGTGCTAATGCTATGTTAGTTATATAAATATATATATATGTTTTGTATAACTTCTCCAGCCTCTCTCTTTTAAAATTGTTTGTGGCATTTTTATTTTGTTAGCTAATAATTTTGATATACTCAAAATTAAAAATTTTAATCCTGATATAAGTACATTAAAAGAAAAACACATTTATAACCTTATTTTATTCAAAAATATAGATCCAAAAATCCCAAAGAAAATATTACCAATTGAACCCAACTATGATTGAAAAAGTCAACAATATGGTGACCAAGTTGAGTATACCCCAATTTGAAAGGACAGCTTAAATTTTTTTAAAATCTATAAATATAATTTCCCACATTAACAAATTATAAGAGAAAACCATGTTGTTATTTCACTAAATGCAGGAAAAAATACTTGATAATGTTGAATTATTGATTTAAAAAAAACTCTTTGTAAATTGGAAATACAACTTCCTTAAACTGATAAACTGTAGCAAATATCTTCATTATGGGGAAATTTTAAAAGCATTACCATTTCATTCAGAAATGAAGCAAAACCATCTATGATTATAATTTTTATTTAACATGATACTGGAGTTCCTAGCCTAAAGAAATAAGAAAGGAAAGAGAAATCAGAAATATTAGGATTGGAAAGATAGAAGTAAAACTTACTTCTGGTAACAAGATTGTTTATATAGAAAAATCCAAAAGAATCTAAGATACTATATTATTAG